CGGCCCTGGGAGTGGGGTGGGGGGTGCTGGCCCCAGGGGAGCCCAGGTACCGACACTGGGGGCGTCGGGGCCGGGGACAGCCGGCCCGGTGCCATGCTCTGAGGCCCTGTCGCCCGGTGTGCCTTCCCCATGCCGGGGCAGAGAGCCAGGCTTGCCGCCGCGTTCCTCTGCCGTTTGCGCGCTCGCGGCCGGCCCAGCCGCTCAGCGGAAGGGTGGCCCGGTTGCCGTGTCGGCGCTAGAAATCGGGCTGGCACGTTCTCCACTTTCTTTCCTGGTCGTGCTGCCTCCCGGTGCCCAGCGAGCGGCTCTTTGTGGAGATGGCCGACGTGATGGCTGCCGAGGGCTGGAGGGACGCAGGCTACGAATTCATCTGCATTGACGACTGCTGGATGGCCCCAACTCGGGATGAACATGGCAGGCTCCAGGCTGACCCAAAACGGTTCCCCAGCGGGATCCTCAAGCTGGCCAATTACGTGAGTGCCATCCACTGTGGCGTAGGGCAGTGATGGCAGTCAGGGACCTGACCTGCAGCAGTGCTGGGAGCAGGGGAGGAAAGGGAAGGCTGGGTGGGGAACATTTGTGTAGCTGCTGAGCTAAGGCCCTGTCTGCCAGAGTGGGGTTTTGCTTCCCTTGCTAGCCCAGCTTCACTTCCTCCTGCCTCACTGCTTCCCCATCCCCAATTCTCTTTCTGTCTGTAAGAGCAGGTCCACTCCAAGGGGTTGAAGCTGGGAATCTACAGCGATGTTGGGAACAAGACATGTGCTGGCTTCCCTGGCAGTTACAACCACTATGACCTTGATGCCCAAACATTTGCCTCCTGGGGTGTGGACCTGCTGAAGTTTGATGGCTGCAACTCTGACACACTGGAGCTGCTGGCGGAAGGTAGGTGTGGGCTCAATGCAGCACTGCACCACAAGGTGGAAATATTCTGCAAGCAGCAGCAATTCTAGGCCCAGGGTGGGCTCCAGGGAGTTGCTTTTCCCTGAACATACACATTTAAAGGATTTGCTTACAAAAGCAGGTATGAGACTCTGTTCTCAAGCCCAAAGTAGTGAGTGTTACTGGCCCAAGTGTTTTTTACCTGTTCAGCCTCCTGGCGCTCTCACTGGTGTGCACAGCTTGAAAAAGCAACTTTCTTACGCTAGAGACCACATCATGCTGGGCATGGAAACATCAACTGCATATTTCAGGGGGGCTCTCTGTGCAGACTGCTGCCTCAGCTCTTAATGCAGCAGAGGCTTTTGCTCTTCTGCAGTGCCTTTACTGGAGAGCTCAAAGCATTTCACACACTTAACCCTTAATCCCTTTGGTGAGGCCATGTCAATGTGGATTGGCTTGAAGCTAGAACAGCTTGTGTCAGCTGTATAAAGGGCAGTTATCAGAGTTTTTAACAGAAAAAAAAAAGGGGGGGAATTCTGGCATGGAAATCCTACTGGCGTTTTCAATTTAAAGCATGCCGGTGTAAATCCCAGTTCGGAAGTTATTTGCACACAGGCTGGCAAGTCAACAGCTGAAAGCTCAGTAGCTCACTGTGCCAAGGGGGCTCAGCTACAGCCTCCCTGCAAGCACAAGCAAATCCCAGTGCCACAGGACCAGATTTGTGGGAAGGACGATGCAATTCGGAAGGCAGTTTTCTCTTGACTGGCTCTCACTGCTGGCACAGTCAGCACCACAGTGTTTGGCAGCAGGAATCCTGCACACAGTCCTGGCTCTGCCTGGCAGGGAGGGCCTGCCCAAGTGACAGTCCCATCTAAGCCAGTTGGAGCATATGCCAGCTGCTACGTCCAGGAGCACAGCTCAGCACCGTAAGTGACAGCTGAGCTGAAAGCTTTTGTTGGATCATGTATGAAACCCAGATACAATCCAGTTGTATTGAAGCAGTTCCAGGGGAGAGAACAAACTTTTTGCTCCCTTTCTGCTGATTAAAAGGGGCTTAATAGGGCTGTCTGGGGACAAGGACAGGAAAAAAAGTAGTGCTTTTGCATTCCTATCCAGCTCATATGGTGTAAATGCCTCATAAGAACATACTCCTGCAATGTTACCCAGCAAAGCTGTACCCAGCAGCTTGATAGATACCAATTTGTATTTCCCAGGTACCTGGAGGAAAAAATGCCACAGAGCAACACCACAGCCTCTTCCCATGGCTGTATGTACAAAGACATCAGCAGTCTCGGAGCAATAAGCCTGCCCATGACTTGTAGCAAGGCTGTGAAGCAGCTCTGTCCTTGGAAGGCAGGAGACTGGCTGCAGACTATAAGCTCCCCTATTCTCCCTGTCGCGTTTCAGCCACGAGCATGTGTTCAACCTTGATTTTGCAAGAGTTGAACTGAAACCTGAATGTATGACATTGGATTAGTTCCTCTGTTTGACCAAGAAGATTGTGTAACCTCTGTCTGCCCTCTTCCTTTAGGTTACAGACGCATGTCTCTGGCCCTGAACAAGACTGGAAGGAGCATTGTGTACTCCTGTGAGTGGCCTTTCTACTTGAGGCCCTTCCAGCAGGTAAGAAGCATTTCTCAAGGTTTATCCTGGGACTGAAAGTGGGAAGAACAGAAAAGCATTAAGACTGCAAAATAGCCTCCTGAGAAACTTGCTGCTCTCTGGTCTAACAGAGAACAAGGCTGTAAGGTGGAGGAAAACCACTTTTTCCTCTAGAGCCCTGAAGTATATCTGAGGCAAGTCATTACTGCTGAAAAGAATTCAGTAGGATCCTGCAGCATGAAGGCACAGCCCAGCTGAAGCCTGCCAAAGAACACAGCAGCATCCATCTGCTTTCCGTCTCTGAGGAACCAAGGAACAAAACATTGGCAATGCAGACACACTGCTAGCAGATACTTTGGTGTTAATCCTCCTGGATGCAGAGTGCTGCAAACTCAGCCTTAAAGTCACCTCTAGGGACCAGGAGAGAGACTTCAGGACAGCCTATTTAATAGGAATTCTCCACATTGTTTACCAACAGATTTCTGCCAGCCAGGTTCCAGGAACAGCACGTTGCTCTCCACCCATAGCTGGCTTCCCCTGTGCCACCATAACAGGATACTGCCATTCCCTCCCACTGGGAGTTAAATGATTTAGTCACCAAAGGGTGTAAACCCAAGAAATGGCAGTAATTACTGGGATGTGACAGTTTAATCCCACTGGCCCTGTAACGCCTTCAGTAAAATAGCACTCAAAGGAATTTCCTAAGAGAGCATAGGTGGCCGCAACTGTTCTCCCAAGGGAAGCAGTAGTATTGTCTGGAACGTGGCAGGCTGGAGTTACTTGGCACAAGGTGTCCTAGGGAACAAACACGCACTAGATCATCCGGACAGCTGGTGATGGAAGGTGTTATCATAGTTATCCCTCAAATTATTACTAATCCAGTCTAGCCTTGTGTGCAGTCTTGTTCCTGCACAACCAGGCTTTCTGGCTAATCACATTGTTTTGGCAGCCCAATTACACAGAGATCAAACAGTACTGCAATCACTGGAGGAACTTTTATGATGTCTACGATTCTTGGAGCAGCATCAAGAGTATCTTGGACTGGACAGCACGTCACCAGGACAGCATTGTAAAGATAGCTGGGCCAGGGGGCTGGAACGATCCTGACATGGCAAGTAGAGCAACATCCACCTCCCTTGCAGCACCAGCAAAAAGTCCTTTCCTCGGCTCTAGGCTGAGAAGGATGGGGAGGGAGCGAATTGAGGCAGAAACATTGAGGGGAAGGGCTCTGACGGGGCCCTAGGATCAGGAACTTGATGAGAGGGACTCTGGTTGGAAAGGGAAAGGAAACTACACCTACAGATGGTACCGAGGAAGCACTGTCTCTGTGTAATGCAGCCTCTACAAGCAGTGCCAGTTCAGAACACAGGCATAGCAGTGGGAGACAGTCTCCAAGTCCTGAGCTACCACCAAGAGGGAAAACCCTTGGGTGCCAGCATTGCAAGGAAGGAGTAGCTGCATCCAAAAGCAGATTCTTAAACGCTGTCTAGCCAGTTAAGGATCGTTCTTTACCTCCACCAGTGGTTCATCCTAAATTGCCACACTAGTCACCCTTTCCCAACTGGCTGGTCCTTCTCCTGACACTCAGCCTATCTAAACAGTCACCAAATAGGGTTCCCACCCTCAGCATCCTGTCATTTACCAGTGTTTGGGTTGGCGGCCCCATTTCTCCTCGGCAGGCAGCATTACTGGGTGTTTTTGTTTTCTTGTCACAGCTGGTGATTGGAAACTTTGGGCTGAGCTGGGACCAGGCAGTGACTCAGATGGCAATGTGGACTATTATGGCAGCTCCCCTCTTCATGTCCAATGACCTGCGGCACATTAGTCCTGAGGCCAAGTGGCTGCTCCAGAACAAAGAGGTGATCGCCATCAACCAGGATCCGCTGGGCAAGCAGGGATACCGAATCACCAAGGTACAGCAGGACCAGGCTGGGGGTGCGCTGCGGGGCACAGGCAGCCAGCCTCCTCAGAAAAGTGACACGGGGGGACACACACACACGTGATAGGGGAGTGCTCAGGGTTTGGGAAACAGGAGCCCAGTGACCACACTTGCTCCTGAAGCCTGCTTAAAGACAGGTGTAAAGACCATCAGTTCTGCCTCCCCTAACGTAAGCCCCGTGTTTGTTTTCTCCTTGGCAGGACAAGAACTTTGAGTTGTGGGAGCGGCCCCTGTCTGGCCGAGCTTACGCCATGGCAGTCTTGAACCAGCAGGAGATTGGGGGACCCCAGAACTTCACCTTCTCCCTTACCTTCCTTGGCAATGGGCTGGCCTGCAACCCAGCGTGCTCCATCCGGCAGGTTCTGCCAGCCAGCAGGGACTGGGGCGTTTACAGCTGGCTCTCCTCCCTGAGTGTGGAGGTGAACCCAACAGGCACGGTGCTGCTGAAAGTAGTGGCACTATAGGAGGCACAAAGACAATCTTTTCATAAGCCTCAGACTGTCTCCTTCCTCCAAGCGGGGTGCCTTTCTTCTCTCCTCAGGTATTCACTACTGAAGTGGACTTTGAGCCTTCAGCCTAATGTGACAAATACCCATCACTCCATCACCCAGAGGTAACAGAGAAAGGGGTGCTGCTTCTCTCCTGTTTATCCTTTCTCTGGCATCTCACCCAACTCCTTCTCCAAGGGGCCATAAGGGTCCCAGCAGGGCACCCCACTGCCACTACCAACCAAAGAAATGTAAAGGATACACGCAGCATCTTACAGCTCTCCATGAGCATTTCAGGGACAAGAGGGAAACACACCCTGCCTGCCTTGCTCTTGATTTGCCAGGCTGGGGCAGAGTCCAAAACCAAGAAAAGCTGCTCCTACCGCTGCTGAAGAAACCCAATACCCTCCTCAGAGGATGGACATCTACTTCCACCTTCTGACAACTAACTCAGGGACTGGCCTAAATCACTACACATCTTGGCAACGGCTTTCTTGACAGCTGCCTGCTTAGTATAAATGTGATTAAGTACCATGCCTTAGGCCTCAGCTTTTGAGGGTTTCTCTTTACCCTGGGAGTCTTCCTCTCAGCAGTGGCTGTCAATTCCTTTTGGACGACAATTCCCTCTCCACCCTCCATGGGCCCACTTGGGTCCCCTTCCTCAGTGAGCTGCCCTCCAAAAATACCTGTATGCTTGCTTTCCACTGCTGGCAGTAGCCTTTCTGTTGAGTAACACAGGTACTTCTGAGACAGAAGATGGATACTTAAATCATTTATGTAACCATCACGTACAAGTATGTTCTCTTCAGACTACTACACGATCGGGGTATCTTGATTTATTATTTCTGTGTTTAAGCACTTTGATTGATTAAAGTGTCCCTTTCCTTAAAAAGGCTAAGCTTTTTCTTAGTTCCAGTGTACAGGAGTACAGCATGGCATCTGAAATTAAATCAGGTTTTAGGAAACAGGCCAGTTTGTTCCAGTCACTAAGTTCTTGTGAAATTTGTCATGATTTCTACAAACAGTGCTCAGTAAAGCTAGCGCGATGCAGCCATACAGTCCCTATCACAGGCGAAGACCCAAAGCCACCACTAACAGTTTAAGCAGTAGTTTTGAAAACACCAATCACATCAGTCAGTACCAAAGGAGCAAAAATACAAATTCTGTTACTGTTTGGTAACTGAGCGCTCAGTCCCAATGAAGATGGGAGGAGGCATTTCTTCATCCTCCAGCTCTGTTTCCACTACAAGGAAGTTACTCCTAAGGGAGTACTCTGCATTGCGTTCCCAGCACCTGCTGACAGTGGACTTCCTACTCATAGGCAGTGTAGTGCTGCCTCACATGGACGATCTCGTCAAAGCCCAGGGCAGGCTGTCCTATCATGTACTATCCTCTCAGTAGCTGCCCATCAGTCACCACTCATTTGAAGCTTCAGTGCTGTGCTTGGGCTTTTTCTTTTAAGGAAAATTCTAAGAGGTGCCAACAGCCATCAGACACAGGGGGCAGGCGGCTGAGGCCTGTCACACCATCACTTTCAGTGTGACAGCATGCAGCTTGGGGAACAAACCATGGACATGAAGCAGTTCCTTTCATCTCTGAGCTACCATAACACTCAGACACTGCACACAGGTCACAGCTGAACCACAGCACGTAACTACTGCCTAATGGTGCAGGCGACGCTTCATCAGATGAAGCCCCTCATAGTAAATCCACTAGCTGCTCCAGGGCCTTTGCTGATGCGTTGCCCCTTAGAGCAGTACAACTCTTCCCCATTTGTAAAGAGGGGCCTACAGCCAAGTACAGGGGCTGTTTGGGGGAGTTTGGATTACTCTGGCCCCTACTGCGTTGAAACCATTGCTGGGTGCATCTACCAATTCAAATTCACCACAGCATTCCTGAAATGGAACTGTTGTAAGAGAGACACGAACTATTTTAAATGAAACGAGCTGCAGAAGTTTAAAGGAGGCCCTTTTGAAGACAGCCTTCTGCCATGGAAGCTCAGAAGTAAGCCCAGAGAAAAGCAGCAGTACAATGCTCATGCAGAGAAGCCACTGGTGCAAAAATCCATCAGAGCCTCAGGCTCTACCAATACTCTACAACACACCCATTGGTAACACAGTAAGGAGATCCCGGCCATCAGCAGTTTTTTTTCCAAAAGCCTTCAGATTACAAACAGTTCATTTACTAAGCAGCTTTGCAAGCAACACCTTCCTGTTGGGTTGATGTACTTGCAAGACCCACCCCACCAACAGAAGATACACAAAACCAAGCAACTGATCACTTCAAATACTTTAATACGGTCCATAACGAGTAGGATGGAGCTTAGAACTGGATCACCTGGCCCTGTAAGAAAGAAGACACGGAGCAAGTTTATTCACCACTGCATGTTGCCACCCTTTCTCAGCCACTCTCAGTACACAAACATACCTTTCTCTTCTTGTCTCCTCCCAGTTCAAAGTGCTTGCACCTCTTAATGGCCAGCATCCTCTTGGACCTGCAGTTGGGCTCCACGCACTCCAGCCTCAGCACAATCTTCTTCGTGGTCTTAGCCTGGGAGGAAGTAAGCAGAGCGTACCAATGAATAAAATGTCCACAAGCATACAAATTGCTGCTCTCAGGAAAAGCTTGTTACCTGCACTCTTAAAGATTCAGCAGCTTATTCTCCAAGTGTAAAGAAAAAGACTACCAACATAGTTTGGCTCCCTCCACTGAAAGCCAGAAAACACCTTAAGGACCAGTACAGGAGTTTAATGGATCTGTACCTTCACAATACAGGACTCTGGCAAAAGCACTCAGTGGAGCAGCGCTGGTCGCCTGCATAGATCAGCCATGCTGGAAGAAAGTCTGTGTCAGTGAACACACCGAGTAACAGGCACTTCTGCAGCTTGAGAGAACAGACTTAAAGTTCAGCAGAAAGCCAGGCAGAAGAAACACCTGAAATCAGCACAACTGACGAACTTTCCCTGAAAGGAGCAGTAACATCCCTGCTCAGTGCAGACCTGCAGCTACTGACAAGTTAGATGGAAACCTGGAAGACTACAAAGGGAAGAATCCAAAGCTGCAAGGGTACTGTCGCAGCTGGCCAGAGCTGTAACCACCAATTACAGACTTAGGCCAATCAACCCTGTAATGCTGACTGGAAAGAAACAGAAATGGGGATGGCAATGTACAGGTGGGGAGCGCAAAACTCAGAGCAGTACGGCTGCTTTGTGCACCCTGTTTGCGGAAGCATTTTCTGCATGGTCTCCCCACTTCATGGCAGATAGTCAACTGGAAAAACTGCTGTCTCATTTTGTTCTTTTTGCTGGAAGACTTCCTGAACATCTCCAGCTGAAGACCGGGGCTTTCCATCAGTGAGCCAAGTAGCTCTACAACTGTAACTGAACAGTTCACAGAAAAACTATTAACAAATAGTTGGGTTTTGCTTCCCCTGCCAACTCCTTGGCAGGAGGTACGTAATGGCATGGAGGGAAAACATGCTGCAAGACTACAGTTCCAGGTACCCACACTGAAGAAGGATGACAGCAGCAGGTTTCTGCAATTCATGTGTAACAGAAGACACTGCTGCCCTTCCACTGCTGCTTTGAGACTCTCAGAGAAGGCCTAACGCAGCAGCTCTCATTTACTGGCTTGGCAATATGGACTTCCTTGGAGACAGCGGACTGCAAGTAAACAATGTTGTGTTCTGCGGTACCCTCAGGAGTTGCACACAGTTCACTTCTGTCATACCCTTGTCAGCCTCGCTATGCAGAGCCTCGGAAACCCATCAAGAAGTTTCAGTGATCAACTGCTGACACTTCAAGAACATAAAGACAGCAAGCAGCAGGCTCCCTTTCCCTTTGCCACACTCTTCCCCCTTGGCAAGCAATAAGGAAAACACTCCTTTCATTAAAAATATCACTTAAAATAAGACCCCGCTCTTCTACAGCATCAAGGCAGAAGCTGCTCTGCAAACATATGCTACGTCACTCCTGCAAAAAATGGAGCATCTACATGAGACAGGGGCAGCAGGGAAGATGAACAGATGCAGATGAGGAACTTACACCCCCCCGGACAGCACTACCAGCACAGAGCTGCCATAGCATGGCTTGAGCACAAGGCTACAGGAAGCTGAAGTGTCCCTCTTCAGCTGGGCACATACATTGCCGAGAAAGTTTCAGGTCCTCCTTCCAGGAGCAGCACTCACCTTCTTACGGAAGATGGGCTTTGTCTGGCCCCCATAGCCACTTTGCTTCCTATCGTAGCGTCTTTTTCCTGCAGACAGAAATGGCTTTGTTTAGACAACAACTCCAGACATGCTACAAGCACAGCTGGCACTCTTACCAAACCGCAGCTGACCTCAGCCTGCGGCTGCAGGGCCCCCTTCCCCGAAAGCTGCATGCTCGGCCCACAACCCCGGCGTGCAGCATGACCACACAGACCCCACGCAACTTCCCCCAGGCAGGGCCCCCCGGAGCGCACGCGTCCCTACCCTGTGCGTAGAGGGAATCCTTCCCCTTCTTGTACTGGGTGACTTTGTGCGGCTGGTGCTTGCCGCATTTCTTGCAGTATGTCCGGCGGG